GCTAAAATCACTAAAAATACTTGAAGTAATATCTTTTTTCACATTTTCTCGGTATCCCTTGTTGAAAAAATAATGAACACAAAACATTTAATTAATGTGGAATGTATTTGAATTCAGTTTTGCTCACTTTTTGCTGAATTTTCAAAAGTAATAAGATCATGTCACATTCACTAACATTTTGTCAGCGGCAGCCGTCACAAATGTCAAACTGTTTCTCTGGTTTCTCTTGTCAATTTGAAAATGTCAAACAGCTTTCTGTAACAGTAGTGTTTGTTTGAATTTTTAATTGCATAACATGAACAATATTATTTTTTTTCTATATTAATATTTTTTTCTCTAAAGAATAAGTCTATCTAAGGATATAAGACAATAAAAATGAAAGATTTTTCGACAAATTTCAGATTAATTTCAGACAGAATAAAGCCAAGTTCCAACAATTTTGAAATAAGTGAAACAGAAAGAAATTTTCCGCTTATTTATATTTGTGGAAGAGGAAAACAGAAAAATATAGAGCCTGTTATTCGAATATTGCTTTCTAATTTGAGATTTTGTGATCGCCATCGCTCACACAACGTGCAAAATAAAATTCATAGCCGTTAAATTATCTTTTTCATTTATACGTTTTATATTAATTCGATCATTTATATGAATTATTTCAAAATTCAGTTTTTTCTGTTTTAAAAATATGAATTTATTCCAATAGATAAATATATATTAGATTCAAACTTCTTTTTGGTTTAGTTTCATTAAGAAAATCACATTCAATGTTTATGTTCAGTCCGAGTTTTGTTGACCATTGCAGTTCAGTAATCGTTAACCTTCAGCATAAGCAGGGTCTCGAACATTTCATCGCTTATTTGACGCCGTCTTGGTGAAAAAATCATTCCTGAAAGACAATTTGAACCATAAAAATTAGAAAAAAGTATAAATGAGTTCTAAAACACAAAATTCAGATGGCTTTTCTATTCATAACCGAGACCAATGCAAGACAAGACAAGACAAGACAAGACAAGAAAAGGAAATTTCATCTAATAAAATAACGTCACATCAAAAATCAAATGCTAAAATTCCCTTCACCTTCACAACCATACATGAAGGTATACCTGCGAACGAAAAAATTCTTTCAACATCTGCTTCATTGCAAGAAATACAATTGTATTTCAGGTGCAGTTTTTTGATTGTAGGAAACTTATCTAAACATCGGAAGTCTTTGCTTGGTGGCTGTTTCAAATAGTTTGCTATTTCGACTGTTATCATAGGCGATCCACCAAATTCTCTTTCTAATAACGTCGTGTTATTATACTCACGTAACAAAAAAACTGCTTGTGGAAAAAACCAAATTTATGAAACGAACAAATTTAAAAACAACAATTAGTCCCAAGGATTTTTTTTGGCAAATGAAACCAATGGACAAACCAACAACAAAATTGAGATATCTGAACATACGATCAATGAAAAGAAATAAAATCATTTTAATTTTGGAATATTTACCTTCGTCTTCGTTTTCCATCGAATCGAAACAGTCCATATTTTCATCTTCATTTTCAACCAATTTATCCTTTTGTGTTTCTTGTGTAACCTCTTCAGCTGCTGACAGAAGCAAATTTTTCAGTTTTTGCAGTATTGTTGGTCTCAATTGGCCCATGTAACTCATTTTGTACGTAGGATGGGTTATCATTGCCAAATATAGAGGCACAGAATGAATGTGATACGGATCCATTACATTTTTGAAGCGCTCAGTGAAACCGTCATATATCGCGTTCAAAAGTGGTTCACAAAAATGTAGTTTTTGATTCTTCAAACGATCGAGTTGAGCCTTTATTCCGAACAAATGAGGTAAATAAGATCCAAAAAGAATATTTCCTTCCAAAGCAGTCAAGCCTTCTGCTATCGGACGCATTACTGATCTAAACTCGAGTATGAATGCATAGTCAGTATCAGTCAATGTAGTGATATTTAATGCTATGCACAAAGCTGTCAGACGTGGTCAAAGGACAAAATGTTTGTGATCTGAAAGAAAATATTTTTGTGGTGTTATCATTAAACATCAATTTTCAGTTTGATTTCACGATTGATTTAAAAAAAACTTACCGAATCGTAGATTCGGTTCCATCGGATTTTGTGTGGTTTTATCAATTTCCGCTCGAGGTACTTTTCGACTAATTCACTGTTTGCTCGGCTTGATGTTGATGTTGCCCAAATCAAATTCAATTTCGTGAAAACTTCTCCATAAACGTTACAATATTTCTCATCTAACAAAGCATTAAAGGAGTCAGTTTTTCCCAACAGATTCAAAGTATGAGCAGAACATTTGATTTGACTTGGAAGTGGCACATCATCCATATCATCTTCATTCGCTATGTCATCAGATAACACAATATCATGAAGAATAAATTCAGGTTCGTCGGGTGAACTATCTTTGCTCAATGGAGATATAACTCCAGTTGTATCGATGAGATCGCTAAGTCTTACGTATTCACTTGCATCATCTTCATTTGGAGACCCCATAAGTGCATCGTTGAACCAAATCCATTCATCTTCGCGCTCGCGTGCCATATTCACGAATTCATCGTAATTTTTACCAAATCGTACAAGTGCACATTGAAACTCTCCTGCGTTGTCGGTTGTTATTGCAACCACTTTCTTCGAAATACCGTAACGTGCCAAAATTTCTTTCAATTTCTTAGCAACCGCTTTGTGATCATGACTTCCATGGAATCTTTCACAAGCGATTATTATCGTCTTCAGTTCATTAGTAGATTCAACTATATAGTGCACGTTTACACCGATGTACGAGCGGTTGTTACGAGACCAAATGTCACATGTAGCACTGAAATAGGGTATTGATTTGAACTGTCGTTTCAAGTCATTGACATGTTGCTCTCTTAATTTCTGGAAATAACAAAAAAATATTAATAAAATTAAGTTAAAATGTCACTCGCTAACAAACTATACTATCAATAGATACCAAAATACGTCGCTTTGCTGTTTTACTGGAGAAAAGGCCTTTTGTACCGTCTTTCACTTCTGAATCAATGTTATTTTCATTTTGAGAACTCTCATCAGTATGGTTTTCACCTGGTTTTAATTCTCCTCCAAAACATACTATATAGATGTATAAAATCAAACAATTTATAAAGTGAATTCATCGATTTTCTCTGGATTTACCTTCAAGAAGTCGTTTTAAATGGGGACTTTCGACTTTAACAACAGGAATGTTATCCTTAATGATAAATCGAAGAACTTCGTCTAGTAGCTCAGATTTTGTTAACTTTTTAGATGTTCGAGCTGAAACCGATTGTGACTTTGACACAGAATAAGAATTTTCTATCTCTTCAAAAGCTTCTCTGTGCATCTGGGAATATAAATTATGTCGATTAATATAAAAAGAATAAAAATTTAAAAAAAATTAATTTCTCACTGATTCGAGGTGGGCCTTCAAATTTGAATTGTTGCCGTACACACAAGAAAGTAGTTCCTTATCGCCTGAACACAGCAAACATTTGACAAAAAGTCTCGACATATCTTCACTCCGTGATTTTACTTCGAAGAAATCAAACAAAAATGTGCTGAATGAATTTGCTCTTACTTTCCAAAAAGTATCGTATGTATCGGTTTGAGGGTCAACGGTAGCTTGACCTGGAGATGGACTTGGTTGAGTATGCAGTTTTGAACGTTTGGATTTTTGCGGTTCACTCTTTCTATTTCTATTTCTTTTTCGATGTTTTTGATTTAATTTGTGAATCTCCTCGGTGACTTCAATACCCATTGAATTTTCATCATTTTCGTCAATAACGGCATCATTTTGCTCATTCCATTGACTTATGCGCCGCTGCTTAATTTTTCTGGCAATTGATTTCGGAATTTCAAAACCGTGTTTGTACCGCTTCAATTTATTATTCAAAGCATCAACCGTATCTTTAGCTCTCAACAGAGTAAAGCCCTTTGTATCTGATGATTTCTTCCCAACTGCTTCGACGGGAACGTAAGTAATAATTTTCCGATTGGCTCGATTTTTCTGCCGCAAAACAGTGGCACTGTCCGAATGTAGATGTGCATTAGAGTCATCGCTTTGTTCTGGAAGAAAAATAATAAAAATTGGAGAAATGCCCAATATTTCTCACTAAATAATCGTAGTTACCGGTAGACATCTCGTTTTAAGCCAGTTGTTTGTACGCTTGAACCGTATTTTGCACCTTGAAATAGAGAAATTGCTTTAATCTGCCGTAACTTCAAATATAACCTCAATTAGTGTTCATGATTATGAACAAAAATTTCGTCAACATTACCAGAGATGATAAATGTGTAAATTAACGCAATCAAAAACTGTGTGAAAAGAAAAATTAAAAATCAAATCAACTCACCATTTGCAAAATGCCAGCCAGTGCAACTGGATTCAATTTGCGTCAACGCAATTTACTCAGAGCAGAACTTGAATGATTTTTGTTACGCTTTATGCGTACAAAAAACTTAATCTCCTTGTTTTCCTTGAATATAAATGTATTTAATTTTGACTATTCGCACCAAATATGTATTATTTCAATATTTATATTCACCTAGTCAATAAATGTATTTTTCGACTCATCAACCAAACATTGCAGTTCTCAGTTGTGTTTGACAAGAGAGACGGTTTGACATTTGTGATTAGTACGACTGCCGCTGACAAAACGCTAGTGTATGTGACATGATCTTATTACTTTTGAAAATTCAGCAAAAAGTGAGCAAAACTGAATTCAAATACATTCCACATTAATTAAATGTTTTATGTTCATTATTTTTTCAACAAGAGATACCGAAAAAATGTGAAAAAAGATATTACTTCAAGTATTTTTAGTGATTTTAGC